AGCCAGACACAGGCTGCAAGTGTGCTCTGGGGCCTTGCTCGGGATACAAAGGGCGCACGGTGCCAGCCATAACACTGAGTAATGCCGGGAGGTGCCTTCTAGAACAGACAATGTGGGCGAGCTCCTCAGAGAGGGAATACCTCTGGCTTGACTTTTAAATGACTAAATTATTGAAATCATTGTCGGTTAGGTGGAGTAGACTTGCCTTCTGCCAGGACACTTCCTGGTTATTTAATAGGAAAGTGTGAAATACTTCCTATCAGATGTGGCGCCTCCTGTCAGTACGGTGGGAGATCAGTCAGAGAAGGCGATTATCTTTGCTGTGCACGGTATTCAGATCACAGTCTGCGAGGTGAGAGGTCTGCAGACACTTGCCTTTGGCCCTAAGAGGGGTTTTGTGATCATTCTCGTACCCTTACTCCCCTCCCACCACAATCCCGCCCCAAGTGAAATATCACAGGCCCACACATGTTATGGTTATTCCCAAAATTTGACAGGACTTTATAAAACAGTGAGTCATGGGCGTTCTGGGGCCAGCTGTGTTCCTTAGAATTGTGAATATTAAGATCTGAAAGTGCTGCTACCTTGCTTTTAACTTTGTTGAATTAGTAATCCTAGCTCGGAAAATCCTTTTGGCATCTCTTTGACTAATCCACTTTGCCGGATCAAGTTGCCAAAGTGGCATTTAACCAACGTGTATGCGTGTGCGCAGGCGTGCGCATGTGGTCATTTTTCTGTTCCTAGGAATCTAGGGTCTTTATATTTGTCTGTATATGAAAAAGAGATATATGAAGGGCTCTGCTCATTAGTTATGTGGGAATGTACAAATTCAGAGGGTGAAATGTGGATGAGAAACAAAATAGGACGAAGTTGGTGAAAGTTTTATGTTTTCCCATGAGCTAACTGCTGGACTGAGCTCATGGCTCCTCTATATCCGAGTTTGAGTTAATTATTACATATCATTAACAGCTGTCTTTCTTCCCTTTTTTTTTTCCCTTGATTGTGGAGGGGAGGATATGAAAACTCTGTTTTTTTGACATCTTACTGAAAAGAATCACTAACTTAGAAGTAGTTAACCCTGATCATCTTTACTCAACCACCATAGGAATATAAAGATTCACAGAGACTGAGAAATGAATGAACCCCTTTGACTTAGTTTATGACCCCATAGTGAGTACAGTGGGTTGAATTTCACTAAAGACCATATTTACTTGAGGCTGTTCAATTCTGGCAAAATTGTTTAGGTTACAGTCCAAACCTCTGACAGTCCCCACGTCCTGCTAGAAACCACTGACCTTGGAAAGGTCTTGCATCTGTGGATGCAGAGTTCAGTCTGGGCTGGAACTTTAAAAGTAGACTTTGCTCTGAGAGCACATTAGAAGAATTATTATTATTGTGTTTTTAAAAATTTGACAGTTTTTACTAGAACCACAAAGTGTTATTAATTCCTTGGTCCTCTGGACCATCCGTTTCCATAGGATCAGTGATCAGTGAGCCCTCTGTTGTCTAGAGTTACAGCTGTCCCTTGGTACCCTCTGGAGATTGGTTCCAGGACCACCCCCCAAGTCTGTGTATGCCCAAGTCTGTCATATAAAATGGCAAAGTATTTGCATACAACCTATGCGCATCCTCCGACCTATACACTTTAAGTCTTCTCTCGATTACAATACGTAATACAATGTAAATGCTATATAAATAGTTGTATTGTTTAGGGCAGTGGTCGGCAAACTCATTAGTCAACAGAGCCAAATATCAACAGTACTTCTTCAAAATAGACTCGCCCAGGCCGAAAACCGACTTCTGTGCATGGGCCACGAAGTTTCAATCGTACTGTACGTGCGCCTGCATGTGGTATTTTGTGGAAGAGCCACACTCAAGGGGCCAAAAAGCCGCATGTGGCTCATGAGCCGGTGTTTGCCGACCACGGATTTAGGGAATAATGACAAGAAAAAAGACTGTACAATCATTGTAGGCTTAACTACATAGTATAGACCAGTGAAGGCGAACCTTTTGAGCTCGGCGTGTCAGCATTTTGAAAAACCCTAACTTAACTCTGGTGCCATGTCACATAGAAATTTTTTGATATTTGCAACCACAGTAAAACAAAGATTTATATTTTTGATATTTATTTTATATATTTAAATGCCATTTAACAAAGAAAAATCAACCAAAAAAATGAGTTCGCGTGTCACCTCTGACACGCGTGTCATAGGTTCGCCATCACTGGTATAGACACATCAGCAACAACATAACATTTTTTTTCTCCGAATATTTCTCTCTGAGGTTAATTGAATCTGTACATGTGGAACCCGCGGGTATGGAGGGCCAGCGGTGCTTGTTTATAGTTGTTGCTAGTGTACCGTAGGTACAGTGAGTTAAGTAATTTGTTCTCTTTAATCCATTATCAGTCTATGAACAGCTAATCACTCTCCTATTTCATTTTACCTCTTCATCCCAACTCTAACCCCTCAACCCCAACTTACTGTCAACAGACACAACCTCTTTAATGTGTTAGGTATGTATTCTTGGATATATGTAGTCTTTAAAAAATACTTAGGGTTTTAAAATAGAAGCTTATGTTTGAATTTACAGAAATTGCATTATTGCGCCGTTTTTAAATATAGCCTTTCGAATTCCCTGCTGTAGATTACAAACAAGTCAATACGACATACTAGCACCCTCCTCCCTTCTGCCCATCCGTTTCCCTCCAAAGAATCATCACCTGTCGGGCAACATTGTTGGCAGCCCTCAGCCAGCTTTGTGCCATTCGAGAGTGGCAAGCATGTCTAGACTCCCTAGAAATATTATCTTTCAACTCGCTTTTGGCAAGTGTAAACTTTTTGCTGGATTATGTCAACAGATATATATATATGTTTCTCATCCTCATCGAAATAAATTGGTGCTGGAATTTCTCTTGGATTTCTCTAGGCAGGGAAAATAAAGACCATCTCTTGGCTCATTACAGTTTTTGCTCATTAAAAATGTCTGAGGGCTTTTGAGTCTCAGGGGGTGAGTTGGTGACATACATATACTGTCAGCGGCTATTTTGGATTTTCTGCTTCCAGGCATGTCTTTGCTCTTGGATAAGCCCCTTGTGGTTTTCAAAAGAACTAGCAAGTCAATTATAAATAGAAGGCCTTGTGTCTGTGTCTGCATGCACTTACTCTGTGGGACGAGGCACCCACATTTCAGTGGGCAGTGAACTATTTTCACTTTGAAGAGGGAAGAAGAAAGATTAAGAATGCCATTTTTCCCCCTTTTTGAGATAACCCACATCTCTGCGCGCACCCACACAAATCTGTGTAAATGAACTTGACATTTTCAAAGACCTTACCTTAAGGTCTCTTAAAAGCACAGCCACCCGACTGGTTATTTTAAGAAAGAAGCAGTTATCTCGCAGACCTGTGGCAGAGGGTTCAGGATGAGAAGGCAGACAGTCTGTGCCTTCGACCATCCCAGGGAGCTCGGAATGTCCTTATATGAACAGTGCTAGGGTGAATGTGGCCACGGCTAACTAACCAGTGGCTTCTAGGACGTGGCTGTTTATATTCTATCTTCACTTTCCTTCCCCGCTAGTAACTAGTGGAAACTGTTGTGACCAGCAAGTCTGAACTAATCATTCAAACAAGAGGGCCCAGGGGCGACAGAGCATATGAAAAATGAAACTGCAAATGAGGGTTTCAGAAAGAGACAGGAGTCTGCTGAGGTCTGCTTCCCTGATGATACATTTCTGCCTCTTTCCATTGCGTCGTAGGCCCACCAGGTGCGGGCTGTGCCTTGGATCCCATCTGTGACCTTATTGTTCAAACATTGTTCTGCTCCCTTTGTCTTCTTGTGCCCTCATCCTCAATAACTGCTGCCAAACTTTTTTTCTGCCACTTGAAAATATGTGAGCAGCTATGAATTTCCGTTGTAATTAATGTAAAAACTTCAGTATTATTACTGTTAAAAAAATTAGTCTAGGCATCTAGCTTAAAGTATTGATAATATGGGTTTGTAATTTTAGACTTGTAAACTCTTACCATGTGGTATATTGCTGAAGCAGACCGGTAACAGCAGGAACGTGACCATTTCTTGTATTACTGGTTGATGAAGATTTGTATGGAGCTAGCAGGAATGGGCATTAACAGCTGCCATAAATAGGTTGTCCCCAAAAAACGTATACACACTTTAATAGCTCAATTTTGAAAACGAAATGTACTTTTTTAAAGCTTTATTGTTGAAAGTATTACAGATGCCCCCTTTCCCCCCTTGATCTCTCCTAGCCCACCCCTGACCCCCGCCCCCAGACTTTCACCATCCTATTGTCTGTGTCCATGGGTTATGCATATATGCATACAAGTTCATTGGTTGATCTCTTCCTACCCACCCTCCCCTCCTGCCTTCCCTCTGAGGTTCAGAAGTTTGTTCCATGCTTCCATGTCTCTGGATCTGTTTTGTTCATCAGGTTATTTTGTTCACTAGATTCCATGTATGAGTGAGATCATGGGATACTTGTCTTTCTCTGACTGGCTTACCTCGCCTAGCATAATATTCTCCAGGTTCAAAACGAAATGTAATTTAATAAACACTGCCTTTATAATTATTCAAAGTGTGTATTCATTTTTTGGCACACACTATATTTAGGAACCATCCTTTTTCTTACACAAAATAAAAGAGATGAGCATTATGTTCTGGTAAAACATTTTATTTTGATGAAGGAATTAGGAGATGAGAGCCCATTGGGCTGAAGATAACACGTAAACCACAGTGGGAGAAACTCATTTTCTGGAGCCTGTGGACAAATGATAACCACTCTTTGGCCTAGTAGAATCTAAAAGAGTACACAGCTTATATAAGTGAGTTTATATACTGAGTAGTGATTATCATTTGGTACTTGGTCAAGTGAGAGATACAAGACTACAGAATGTGGACAATGGTCTTGGAGAAACTGTCTTATTCCCCCCATGGGTGTATAATCCATTCAGTGACTCCCCTTCTTCCTCTCTATCCTTCTACAGATGAGAAGCCCAAGGTGAACACCAAACTGTACATGTGTGTGTGTGAAGGCCTCTCCTGTGGGAACGAGGACCACTGTGAAGGCCAGCAGTGCTTCTCCTCACTGAGCATAAACGATGGCTTCCACGTCTACCAGAAAGGCTGCTTCCAGGTCTATGAGCAGGGGAAGATGACCTGTAAGACCCCGCCATCGCCTGGCCAGGCCGTGGAGTGCTGCCAGGGGGACTGGTGCAACAGGAACATCACGGCCCAGCTGCCCACTAAAGGTTCTCACGCACTTGTCTGTTTTTAGATCAAGGGTTTTTGTTAGTGTTGGGCTGATTCTCTGTGGGTTAAAGATGGGAGTAGCTCCAAGGCTTTCCTCCAACTCTTTGAACCAGAGGCAGTGGGTGACAGGGAAGGTGGTTTCTGGGTGAAGAAGAGAAAGGCACAACCTGTAGAATCTAAAAGGAGGAGGATGGAAGGATGGACATCCTTTTGGGGGAAAGTCAACAAGGCGATGTCCACCTCAGGGACATCTTGGTTGGTCAGGTCTCTCTCAGCAGTCACACACAGGTGGACAACAGTTCCTGATGCCTTTCCAGTTAATGAGCCAGGATGCCATTCGACATTTCAGAAAACATTCTGCTTAGTAAAGAGTTGAGTGTGTAGGGAGGAAAATGGAACCTAAGACTTAGGTGCCTGAGTGGAAAACCTCTTCTTTATAAGGAAGGAGACAAAGAAAGGCTCACTAAAAGTTCATGTCCTATTCCCAGTGATCCACCACTGAATTGTGAAGCTGTGTGAGACTTCCCATGAACCTTGGAGTTGATGTGGAATCTTCTCTGTGTCATATTCAATGTGGATTCCGAAGCCAATGGAAATCAGTCCTCCTCTGAAATTGTTTTCCCATGAAATGAGCCTGAAATTGCTAGCTCAGAGTTTCTACAAATATTAAAGTACCTTAGTCTGTGTAGAGTCACTCTAAGGCAAATTTACTTTTAATAATATCGTACATTTTTAATAGGCATGGTTATTTAATTTTGCTCTCACAAAAGGAGAATCAACCCAAAAAATGGAGTAGGAGAAGCTAGTGGGAGCATCCACTGCTGGAAATGTCAGCCAGCAAGGGAGGAGACTCAAAAAATGAAAAAGACTGATGCACGGTCACGTTACAGTAATTGTTGAAAATATGGTGATGACCTTCAGGCATACAGAAAAGGTTAAATTCTGATAAGCAAATAGGTTTGAATAATAAGAGACAGTTTTTAAAAGAGAGATTAGGTACTTAAATGGTTACAGCTAAAACGCTTACCTGATGGAATACAACTGTACTCTTAAACTTTGTGAGTTTACTTGTTATTAATAGAGTGGGGAGACATGAAGAAATGTCTGCATTCACACAAAAATTATATCTCTAGTTTGAAAAGTTCCTAGCCTCTGAGTTGTAATAGGAAAGTTATTTTCTTTACTTAAGGAATTTCTAATTTAATTAGAGAGGTGTAATATTTATAATTTAATGTTGTATATAATTAGTTTTACACTTTATAGTACAAGTGATACGTGCCATGGGGTATATTGCCAAGTGGTTGATTAAATTAGTTGGATTCAGAAAGTTAAAAGAAATGTATAAAGGAAAGTAGGCTTGAGATTGGATCGCTGAAGGGGCCAGGGACGTGGAAAATAGTAAGTCATATGTTGGGAAGAACGGGGCTTGGTGACAATGTCATGAAGGCGTCTGAAATTCAGAGAGAATTATTGTTTTGTGATCTTTTAATTATGGACCTTCACTATCCAAGTAAGAAAATTTGATTGAACTCACTAGGCAGGCAGAAAGTCTTTGAGAATGTTTGCTTTAGTGGTGTGTGAGTGTTGAGTCATGAACATTTGGATGGGTAATGTAAGAACGCCTGAAGAGTCAGTGAATGGATGTTTTGAATGAGTGAATGGATGTTGAAGACATTGAGTAAAAGAACAGATGAAGGAATAGGTTCCTAGGCGAAAACATGATATAAAAAGATCAATGAGAATTCAGCAACAAACATCTAAGATACGTTGGAGAGATTGGGCAATTTGGTCTTAACTCAGCACTATCTCCTAGGGATAGTAGAGCATAATGTCTGTCTGCAAGGGGCTGATGATAAAATTTCCTTACAAATCAAATCCAAGTTAATAAGAGTAGCACCAGAGATTTGTATAGTACTCTATATTTTAAAAGCACTCTCATATATGTTCATTAATACAGTTGGTACTCAATGGAATTTTTCCAGTTGTGTCTAAATGAATACTAGCTAAAATGACTGGGCTATTGGCCAGGTGTTAGGAAGTATGTTAGTTTTAACACTTTGTGACTTGTGAGACTTTGTGGTCAGGATCTGGAGCTACCTGTTAGGGTATTGGTCATCAATATTAAATAATAAGTAAACATTGATCCTTACAACCGTTTTCGCCCCCATTTCCAGGGAAATCCTTTTCTGGAACACAGAATTTTCACTTGGAGGTCGGCCTCATCATTCTGTCCGTAGTGTTCGCAGTATGCCTTCTAGCTTGCCTACTGGGAGTTGCTCTCCGAAAATTTAAAAGGCGCAACCAAGAACGCCTCAATCCCAGAGATGTGGAGTACGGCACCATCGAAGGGCTCATCACCACCAATGTTGGAGACAGCACTTTAGCAGTGAGTTGTCACCCTAGCATCCCAAGCATAAGGAAGATGGCTGAGGATGCCTTCTTGTTTTGAGCATGAAAGCTAACAGTAGCTGGTGACTGGACAGTGTGCACACATAGCACTGGCCATGCACATCCTAAGCAAGCATGTGCTGGCACCTGTCTGGTCTCCCCTATTGGAGAACATTCATTTTAGACAGTGTTTATATTAAATGAGAGATGGGATTTACTTTAGCAGATTTTGGGGGAGTAAGGGAAAAGTGCCCTGTTGGTGGTGGGGGCGAGAGGAGAGCCTTGGAATTTATGGTACTCAGTTACTTTTTTCTTTTAGCAATAAAAGTGCTTTTATAACAAACACCTTTTGCTTAGTATTAAAAATCACTCTTCCTTCTAGATTATTTTAACACCCTGTAATTTAAGACTTTAAAATTTGACATTCAAAAAAGAAGCTATTAAATTTTTCACGCTCCTGTGCTGCCCCCTTGTGGAGTGCAGTCATGTGGCTAAACCCAGTGATGTCCAGGAGAAATATGTGCATCACGTATGTAATTTTAAATTTTCTAGTAGCTACCTTAAAAAAAGTAAAAACAAAACAAAACCCCAGATGATATTAATTTCAACAATATATTTAACCTAATATATATAGTTATAATTTCAACATATAATCATAAAGAATTACTAATAAAACATTTTACTCCTTTTTTAAACTAAGATTTCAAAATATGGTATGTATTTTACACATACAGCCTACAATAGTTCAGACTAGCACAGTTCACTTGCTCAGTGTCAGCATGTGGCTAGCAGCTACCCTAATGAACAGCACAGGGTTGAAACTATTGTATGTATATGCATTAAAAGTACTCTTGTGTATTTCTAAATGAGGAAATCACAGTAAAAAGTGACTGTCTTCCTTTTTTGTTTACAATTTAAATTTGTTTTTCAAGTGTTATTGTTTTTAAAAATATATTTTTTTATTGATTTCAGAGAGGAAGGGAGAGGGAAAGAGAGATAGAAACATCAATGATGAGAGAGAATTATTGACCCACACCTCCCACTGGGGATCGAGCCCGCAACCTGGGCATATTCCCCTAACGGGGAATCGACCTCCTATGGGTCGATGCTCAACCACTGAGCCATGCCAGCTGGGCTCAAGTGTTAATTTTAAAGAGACTTTAAAAAGTGGAAAAGGGAATTATTTGCTATAAAAGGGTTATCGTAAAGTGCAAAAGAAAAAAGCATTAATGTTCTAAAAGGATACTATGCTGAGTGAGTCTGGTGCCTCCTCTGAAAAAGGCATCACACTAGTGAGTGTTAGAGAGGTGTTAAAAACATACTCATACCAAATCAAGATTCCTTTTCATAATCTGATGAATTGAAAGACAAGGTAATCATTTTGTAATGGGAGTCAATGTTATTTAATGCCATGATCATGTGTCACTTAAGATCCTCTTGTGTTAAATCTTCTAGACAATATGCTTAAAAGTGTCTGACATTTCTGTAGTTAAGCCTGACCTGCAACTTCCTTTTTACTGGAGAGGACGTGCCCTTGACAATCTTTGCAGCTCAGGTCCTGCACCTGGACCATTTTTGGTGAGCTGTTCAAACATTGGGTAAGAGCAGATCCAGGCTGGAAAATATCCCATCCTGCTGCCTTCCCCAGTACTGGGCCACCTGTCAGATGTACTTTTTGGTATGAAAAAGGGGGAAGACCCTTGTTGAGCTTCCTGTTACCTACCTATTTAAATTGTAGTACAGCAAAACTGGGAAAAAAGAGAGGACATGTTATTCCAAAAAGTAGAGGATTACAGTTTTTTGTTAGAAAAGTACTTAGAGGTTAATTTCACATTTTTTTTAAAAAATATATTTTATTGATTTTTTACAGAGAGGAAGGGAGAGGGATAGAGAGTTAGAAACATCGATGAGAGAGAAACATCGATCAGCTGCCTCCTGCACACCTCCTACTGGGGATGTGCCCGAAACCAAGGTACATGCCCTTGACCGGAATCGAACCTGGGACCTTTCATTCTGCAGGTCGACGCTCTATCCACTGATCCAAACCAGTTAGGACTAATTTCACATTTTGAGGAAAATTAAATAAGTTTATTGAATTAGCAGCAAGAACATACAAGGCTGCCCAGGCTGGTGTGGCTTGGTTGATTGGGCATTGTCCCGTGTACCAAAAGGTTGCTGGTTCGATTCCCAGTCAGGGCACATGCCCGGGTTACTGGCTTGATCTCTAGTAGGGAGTGTGTGGAAACTGATCCATGTTATGCTCTCACATTGATGTTTCTCTCTCCCTCTCCTTCTCTTCCCCCTCTCTCTTAAAATCAATAAAACATCTTTTGAAAAAAAGAAGATAGAAGGATAAATCCTGACAAAGATTTAACAAAGCAAGATTCAGAAATAGACTTGTCAGAACTTCATTCCTCAGAACAGCTAACATAACTAATCACCATGGACAATAATAGGAATATCTTGTGTGAATTACTGTTTAAATAGTTTTTATAATTTTGAAAGAGGGATGGGAGTATATGCTAAAATGGCCTTCTCAACTCAACCATGTTCGATGACAGTATAGTGCGATATAACAACACAGTAAACAACACTATTTAAAACAAGTTGTCCCTATTGGTCTTCATACTTGCTCATTTAAGCAATATGCTCATGTATGATTCAACAAAGCACATCTTACTAAACAGCTCCCCCACATTGAAAAGCAGCCTTGGGGTCTCAGAGTTGAAGTAGATGTTTGGATATCTTTGGTTGATTTCGTCCCCACCCCCATCCTGGGGACCAGGGTTATATATTATGGCAAAAATAACGTATTAGTTTAATTTTCTGGATTATTCTCTCAAAATGTTGAATAAATAAAGAGAAAAAAAGAACATCAAATAGATGGTTAGGGGAATGTGGAAGTCTCCTTCATCTTACTCAATTCCTGTTGATTATCCATTTTGTGGTTTTAAGGATTCTAATTTTTTTTCTTTTGGATATTCAGCTTTTGGTAATTTTGCTGATCAACAGTACTTCACAGTGGTACTCAGAATAAGAAAAAAAAAGATGAAATTCAAACAAATCAGTGTATCGTGTTAACAGGCCAGCTAAAATGTTTGGGAAAGGATGAGGAATGTCAGCTCACTGTGACTGCAACCTTACAAAAAAAAAGATGAAATTCAAACAAATCAGTGTATCGTATTAACAGGCCAGCTAAAACGTTTGGGAAAGGATGAGGAATGTCAGCTCAATGTGACTGCAACCTTAATCACCATCACACGGGGGCACAATAATGTATATTGCAGACAATCCATTTCTGATACAGAAAGACCTCTGCTTTCTTCTTTTCCTAAGAAGGAAATATTTATGAATGAACTCATGGGGACTCTTTTTCATAATATGTTATTTGTTAGAAGTAGATTTGGGGCATGGTTTTATGTTTCCAATGAAAGCTTTAGCTTTTCTGAGTCGTGGCTAACTCCCATCAAGAGATGACACGTTGGTGTTAATTTTTTGACCCCTTTGCTCCTCACTCACTTAAAAAGGGTAACACCTCCATCCAGGTAGCCCCTCTCTGCTGGAGTGTGCCAGTTGGATGACCCAGGTGGCCACTGGTGTGTCTTTCTACTACACGAGCGCCATCTGTTCCTTATTCCTAATTCGTACGTTTCTCATGAGAGCCCCTTAGTTGGCATGTCAGCTAGAGGGGATCCTCTGCTAGATAATGAATGACAAGCAAAGTAGAATATGGTCAGTTGGGCCCAGCCTGGGACTTGAAGCTCTTTTCTCTTCTTTTTGCTCTACTTGGTCTTTGTTCTGCTACTTTCCCTGTGCTCAGCCTGGACTTTCTGATTCCCATCTTCGACTTTGTCCACTCAACTTCTTTATATATTTAATTCTAAAACTGTTAGTGCATGAAAGGACCACGTAATCCTCAGGAAAACCTATCCTGTATTAGGGAAAGGATGGGCTTCTGGTTTTTCTAATAAAACCAGTGATAGCAGCTGTTCACGCACACTAATGGCAGCCAGGGTGCTGCGCTGTGTGAGTGATAACGCGATGCATGCTCATGCTCTAATTCGAGGGCTCTTTCTCATCAGTGTCTTTTCTCCTTGTCTGGAACCACAGGATTTACTGGATCACTCGTGTACGTCGGGAAGCGGCTCTGGCCTTCCTTTTCTGGTGCAGAGAACAGTGGCTCGTCAGATCACACTGTTGGAGTGTGTCGGTAATGCATTTTCTCTTCCTTTGCGGGTTATGTGCGGTGTTAGTTGTGGTTCTGGAAGGAGGATGGCACTTGGGAAAATCTGTTTCTTGTTTCCTAACATCGGGAGGTGGGGGGTAGCCATGTGGTGTGGCTTTGTCTCTGTTCTCTGTGTGACTTGTGTTGGGGCACCTAAACTTGCACAAGTCCTTGTCCAAAGAGTCCGTGACTAGTTAGTAGAGACCATGCTTAGTCAGAAGCTTTCTGTTGCAAGTCCACCCTTTGGAATGACGGAAATGCTTGAAACATGAATGAATAGGGCTGCTCCTCATTGTAGGTATTGGATGATCCGAGGTAAGTAGGCTTTAGGACCATAAACTTGCTTATTACAAGTTTCTAATCCCTCTCACTCTTCCCCTGCCTTTTAAAATAATGAAATAATCTGTTTAAACAAGATATATATATATTTCTCTATGGCCATTCACAGTTTTTCCATATAGGAACATATTTACGCATAGATGTAATCATAGTGTGTGTACAATTTGTGTCCCTTTTTTTAGTTTTAAGCTCACATTTCCCCTTTTTGGACACATCGTAAATATATTTAAAGACTGTGTAATAATCATCTATTGAATATTCATTTTTCTGTAACAGTACTACTTGAGAAAGATTTTGCACCCATTGCTTCACTCTTTTGAGTCCTCAGAATAAATTCCTAGGAATTAGGATTTCTGGGTCAAAATTTATGACTTTTTTCATTGCTTGTTTTATATATTACTGGATTTTCCCCTACAAAGATGGTACCAAATGCTTTTATTTATTTTTTAAAAAATTTAAAAGATTTTTAAGTTGATTTTTAGAGAGAGAGGAAGGGAGAGGGAGAGAGAGAGAGAAACATCGATATGAGAGCAGAGCATCGATCAGCTGCCTTTGCACACACCTCCCCCCTGCCCCTTACTGGGGATTGAGCATGTGCCCTGACCGGGAATCGAACTGGCAACCTTTCAGTGCAGGGATGATGCCCAACAAACTGAGCCACATTGGCCAGGGCTCTAATGTTTTTATTTTATTTCAGAGTTTCATTTTTTATTAGTTGTGGTGGATATTTGCCAGCCACATGATAGTTTTCATTAATTTCTCCTTTAGATGCCATGCAGGGATGACCACAGTAGTGCTAATGGGTTGGCAACATCTCTGTCCTCTCCTCCTGATTCTCCTGGTTCCTCTGGGCTGGACTCGGCAGCTTTGGGGGAGATGGCTCCCTCCACCACTTGGCTGCTGTGCTCTGGCTTTTCTCGCTGTTTTCCGGGAAACCAGGACACCCCCAAACCCAGTAGTAGAAGGGGGGATGGACAGGAATAGTAAGAGCAGCAAGTCCCAACTCAGGCACACAGGCGGTCAGCTGGAGCCTGTTGCCTCTTCTCTAAGTCTGCAGCTACTCGACTGTTTCCGAACACCACTTCACACTGCTTCTCCGCAGTGGAGAAAATAAAAAGGTCCCAAATGTGCTCACTGCATCCAGCCAGCATTGTCCTTTTGGACCAGTTAACATCTTATTGGATTATGAACCAGGGATTCTGGCTAGTGGTGAGAAGGCAGTGAAGGGAGACACGTGCCCTTCTCACCCCCATCCTCACCATTCACAGGGCAGCAGGTCTCAAGGGCAGTCCTCAGAGATTGACCCCAGAGTTCAAAGGGCAAAATAATGTTGCACCTTTAAACATATATACTGTTTCTGGTTATAGAGATATTCTTCAGTCATTTTTGAAATAATGTAATTTCAAATATAGCATTTTGTTGGTTTAGTGCTGAAGACGAGTAAAAGCAATGCCTTTTTTAGTAGCTTATCGTGTTCATGTGCTATAGTTTAAATAAAAATGTATGTGATGAATTGCTTGGATAGTATGTTATCATTATTGGTTCAAAAGCAAAGAAGCTGGACTAGATCAGTTCTTTTCCAGGCGATGACCAGTGAACCCCTAAATTTCAGAGGCCTGAGGGGTTCCCTTTGTGGGCAGCTCTGCTTCTGTTTTCAGGGATATATTCATAAGGATGCATTTGTAGAAAGCATTTGACAACATAAAAGAGTTTGAGAACCATTGAAGTAGGTTTCTATTTTAATTCTCTCTACTTATCCTGACATTCACTCTGTTTTCTTTAAAAAAAAAAAAAAAAAAAAAAGACTTTAAGGGAACTTTTTAGTAATGGCTGCAATTCTCTGGGAAAATTTTCTCTCCTTCCTGATGAGACTCTGAGGACAAAGGGCAACTAAAGATAAGGAAGGGAACTAAGGCAGGAAAAGATTAGCCTATCATTTCCTAGCAGCTGATTTTGTAGTATCTTCCCCCCAGCCTTCATCTTGAGCTAGAAATGCTGGGCAGTTGACTTAACTGATTTTATTAAAATTAATCTTGTGCTATTTTGTGTGACCTGACAAGGGCTCCCAGTGACCACTTACTGACCACATTTAACATCCTTTTGGATTAGTAATTGCTATTTAGTAGGAACATTGTTTGTTCTAAGGAAATCTAAATTGAGTGGTTTTGATCATGTTTCAGGTGAGTCACCCGGACAGACATGCTTTCTCTCTCCTTGTTTGGGTTTTTGGCGGCTTAGTTGTTCAGCAAAGAGCTGTCTTCCTGTCTGTGCAGGTGGTGCCACAGCTGCTTATTACCAGCCGCGATTCCCAGCAGCACTTGCCTGGGTAGAAAGCCCCACTGCGCTGCAAGTTGTATCTCCTGCTGCATGATTATCTAGGTGCCGCACACGTACCCCTTGATTATACCCCGTGTTGATCCCCAGAGTCTTGTGGTAATTACCTCCTCCTCCCAACCTCCCTGCTCACCCCTTCCTATAATTAAGGAGAAGGGTGGCAGAGGGCGCATGGAGTTGACAAGCCGATAGTTGTGTTGCTGCTGCCGGAGAGGGAAGGTACCCAGCAGAATCATCACAGCTAGTCACCACATTCTGCAAAATGTCTTCTCCATTTGGTCTTTTCCGTGTGGCCCAGGGTGGCATTGCAGGGGCTGTCTGACAAGCAAATACCCATGACCAATGTCAGAAATCAGGACTGTTCTGGGATTACGTGTTTAAGACTTTGCAAATCCTCTTTTGAACTATATCCTCCGCCAAGAAATCCTTTAGGGATGGCAGTGGCTGCTTGTCGATCCCCTTCTCAGCATTGTTTTTTGTGTGCTTGTGTGTGATTGCCTTTTTAACCCTTCAGAACAACACATCTCAAACTCAATGGTCTCCTTTTTGAAACATATAATTGTCTATGTAAAGCTGTATACATGTTTTTGTCCTTCCACACCACACTGAAATCTAATGATCGGCACCATTTTCTAAGTTTTGCTAACTTTCATGTGCTTTTAAAAACTCTATGTGTTTCAGACCCTTTAATAGAGGAATTCAAATGTAAAACTTTATCGTGTGCAGCTAATTGTACCGTGCAGATACTGAGGGTGTTTAACTTGTTATCACAGTGGAGTGGCTGGGAGGGGCAGGTTCTACCTTTACAGGCAAAAGGTCCTGGTATTTATGTCCCCAAACTTGAGTTTTCCCAGTAAACAGTGGGCATGGTTAAGAGTTGCAGGTATGCACTTTATTGGCGACCTTTTCTGTCCTGTCCAATGTCACCTCTGTGCTGCTTTCCACAGGGAAAGGCAGGTATGGTGAGGTGTGGAGGGGCAGCTGGCAAGGGGAGAATGTTGCTGTGAAGATCTTCTCCTCCCGGGATGAGAAGTCGTGGTTCAGGGAAACAGAATTGTACAACACTGTGATGCTGAGGCATGAAAATATTTTAGGTGAGTACCAGGGTGATTCCCCTCATGATTTTTATCTAGAAAGAAATCATTTGCTTGCCTTTGCCCTCTCTGATGGGGTGCCTGTGAATTTTCCAGTCTCTCCTGAAAAGCGATATAGGGATCTTGCGCATGTATATACTGTTTAATTTTTTAAAACTAATTTCTTGTTTATATCTGCAGAGAAGTGAAATTGGAAGGTTCTCTCAGTGATGAAAAGGAAATTGTTATTGTTCCCTCTCATTCTGCAGGTTGTCATTTAAACAACAGAAATTTGCCCCATATTGTTCACTTCAAGGCTTCCTCGGTGGTTCTACTTACCCCACACCCTTGTTGAATATTTATTACTTGAATCAAACTAAGAAAGCTCTTTGGATGATTTCCTAGAGATTCACAGCTCCCAGGGACATCGTAATTAAATGCACATTCCCTCAAACTAGGCATCGTTTTTTAAAGCCCAGATTTACAGAGGGATTTAGCATACATTTTAATTTGGAAACTAAAGCTTAAAAACATTTGTGAAATATGTGGAGAGCTCATTGAAAATACTGCTATGGAATTATAAAGGGTGAGAATATTCCTTGCGTCCATTGGCGTATATGTTTTTTGAAAAGTTTCTGTAAATGTGTTTATACTAATACATCCTTGACGAATGCTGCATGGTGTGCTTTTTAATTGATGGATATAAAGTTAATATAGAATTTGACCTGTAGAAGATAGTGTTGGACACGTTGTGACTATTGGATTAGGTTTGGCATACACAAAGCTATTTGCAGAATTTATTTCTATTCCGGTACAGTCATTCGCAGTATAAATTTCAGTCAGTGACGAACAACCTATACAACAGTGGTCCCATAAGATGATAATGGCTGGAAAATTCCTGTCGCCCAGGACATTGTAGCTATGGAAATGTTGTAGCACAACACATTACTCACATTTTTGTGGTGATGCTGGTGTAATCAAATCTGTGCTGCCAGTCGTATAAAAGTATAGCACAAACGGTAATGCACAGTACATAATACTTGATAATGAATGGCTATGTTACTGGTTTATGTGTTTACTATGCTATACTTTGTCATTATTTTAGAGTATACTCTTTCTACTTATAAAAAGAAAGTTTACTGTAAAACAGTATGCCGTGTTATGCAAGCAACAGCCTCATAGTTTCCGTGTTTACCATGTCTCTTGATTGCATCATTTTTTTCTTGTGCTTGATTTAATCTCATTTTATAAATTTAGTGTCGCTTAAGTGTATAGTGTTTATAAAGTCTACAGTAGTGTGCAGTCATGCCCTAGGCCTTCACATTCACTCATCATTTACTTACTCACTGACTCACCCAGAGCAACTTCCTCTCCTGCAAACTACATTCATGGTAAGTACCCTATACAGGTGGACCATATTTTATCTTTGACAACACATTTTTTACTGTACCTGTTCTATGTTTAGACACACAAATACTATTGTGTTATAATTGCCAACAGTATTCAATACAGTAGCATGCTGTACAGGTTTATAGCCTAGGAGCAAGAGGCTGACTATATAGCCTAGGTGTGTGGTAGTCTATACCATCTAAGTACACTGTATGATGTTCTCACAGTGACAGAATTGCCTACCAACATGTTTATCAGAATGTATCCCCATCGTTAAGCAGTGTTTGATTGTACTGCCAATTTAGTATTAAACCTGAGCCAGGTTGTCTCCAAATAATAGTTTGACAGTTGTCCAAAGCTTTGCTTCATCAGTATGGTGGTATGTTTCATCTCAGAATTATCTCAGTTTCTGCTGTTGACTTTTGCCCTTCCCTTTCCCCTGGGGCCCTAGTCATCACCTAATCCTCCTCCCTTATATTGTGGTTCTTGGTCTTCCCTTTCCAATCCTTCTTTCTATAATGAGATATCTTCCCCTGGGGAGCTGAGATACTTCTGCTCTATGTGTCTGCTGACTCTCACATTGCTTGCAGCAATCGTGACTTCTGGGCCTGACATGACAGACTCCCTATTTTGGGCTCCAAGGATTCTCTGAAGCATCCTGTACAAATATACCCACATGCAGCCACTTCTGATGTTTGCCCTTCCTTGGGATTGCCATGAACAGTCAAGTCTCTGTGCCTTTGCTCACATTGTTTTTGATCACCCACTCTTCCTGTCCCACCCTCCAATCACGCCTTCCTCCATCAGAACATCTGAGTGCCCTTCCAGTATCTCCCAGTAGATTTAATTGTGCTTTTCTGCACTCCTCACGTTGAACCTCTGCTATAAGTCTTATCACACATTGTCTTGTGTTGTGGTTGGATGCATGTGTGTAACAACAGTAATGATGACAATAGGTGGCAATAGTGATGACTAGTTACTAGCAGTTATGTGTGATTTCTCATTTAAGCTTCATCACAACCATAAGAGGCAAGGTACTCTTGTTTCTCACTTTTAACTGATGAGATGACTGAGGTACACGGAGATTAACATCACCCAGCAGATGACGAAATAGTAGAACTGAAAATCACACTGGGCACTCTAACACTTAACCACAGTTGTGTACTCTATACTGTAGTTGGCTAGATGGTCATAGACTAATAGAGTTGTTTCTTGCAGCGGTTCTCAACCTGTGGGTCGCGACCCCTGAAAATGCATCCTGCAAATCAGATATTTACATTACAATTCATAACAGTAGCAAAATTACAGTTATGAAGTAGCAACAAAAATAGTTTTATGGTTGGGGGTCACCACAACATGAGGAACTGTATTAATTAAAGGGTCGTGGCATTAGGAAGGCTGAGAACCACTGGCTCAGGGTATGCAGTGAAAATTCATCAACCGTCAAAATTACCCTCTAGTGTACCAATTTTTCCTCTGAAACTGAAACAGGTTGAAGTTGTGCAACAGATAAAGCATTGGTTGTGTTAGAAGCTGTGAGGTACAAGAAGTGCTTAGCTTTAAACACTAGCATTACTCTTACTGGGCAGATGCACATTGCTAAGAAGCATGCGGGTCTGAGACTTATTGAAGGAAGGACATATTTGGGCATCCCCTCTCATTCTCTGGGGCCCGCAGCCTCACTGAGCAAAATGCTCTGTATATCACTGTGCTATGCAAATAGTCACTTTATCCATGCACTTAAGTTAAATGACCTATGATACCACTTCATTACAATGAGGACAAGAATTATTTCCATTGTTTTTGCTTTCACATTCAACACTGAGGACAGTACACTACCCATGGAAGGTGCTCAGTAAATATTTATTAGGTTGGGTTTAATCACAAGGGAAATTTGAAGGTCACATTTGCAATATGATTTCCTGTGAGAGAACTTAAGTTTCCTTAGTGTGATCACAGAGGGAAAAACATTGTCCATTTATTATTACCAACGAATCACGGAAATTCTGAATTCATGAGCTCTTGCCACCCTCATCATAATTACAGCCAATGGATTGATCTTACTGTGTAGCCTTTTCATTGAGAAAGCTTGTAGAAATGCATAAACTTTTTTGTTAAACTTCTTTCCCTGCTTTACAAGTTTTCTGGATGTAGAGACTTAAGGCTTTTTGTGATCATTTTCTCTTCCATTAAAAGAGCATATTGTGTTTTGAATATCAGGCCATGATTTCCCCCCATCCTTGAGTATTACTAACTCTAGCTCCCCAAATACATAATTAAATTACACACACAAATACATACATATATACAGTATACACATGCATACATGTAAAACTCTGGGCCCTCATTGTTTATCCTCCCAATTAAACTTGTAAAACAGTATCTTTCAAATGGGCTAGTTTGGACTTCAACTCTTCCTTTTGCTGTGACTGGTGTAGAAGTCAACAGCTAAATGAGTAATGGGAAGCCCTGTTGTGTAGTGGAAATTTGGAAAACCGGTTTCTACTCTCAGCACCATTGGAGGCCCACTTTGTGAGTTGGGGCCAAAGTTCTATATTTTTGCACATTCTTTTCTTCACTGCTAAAACCAAAGAGGTTGAGAATTACCTTACACTGTTTTTTAAAAAAAATTGTTTTAAATATACATAACACGATATTTACCATGGTTACCATACTAAGTGAAGTGTACAGCTCAGTGTAACAGAGCACGTGCACGTCATGTGACAGTCACCACCCTCCATCTCCAGAACCTTCTCATACTCTTAAAAGGTACTGCTTAACATTTTCATCAGTCATCATTTCTGGAGATCAATGGGGAAGTAAAAGAAACTGTCCACAAAAGATACTACATTACAAAATCATTGTGGTTGTCATTGAATCCTGGGCTATTTTAACATATAATAATAACCAACTGTTCTTGAACACTTACTATGTGTTAGGCATCATCTGAAGTATTTTGTTTCTAATAACTCTTATTCTCACAGTAGCCCTTTAAGGTAGATGATGATGTTACCGATGTCTTAGAAGGAAGAGATTTTATGTGAGCTGTGCTAGATCATGCAGCTTGGGAATGATGAACCAGTGTGGGAACCCAGGAGTTCATTTCTGGGGCCCAGCACTCAGCACCTCGCTCTACTGTGTGGTGGTCTCCCTCCCGCAGCCGTCAGAGCCGCCCATGCCTGGTTCCTGGGAGATCACCAGGGAGAGGCTCCCAAGGAGCACTGATTACTTCCCTCAAGATTTGGGGTTTTATTTTAGCTATCAAGAAATCTGGAGGATGCCTTTCGCTGTTTAAGAGGCTTTTGCCCTGGTCACCTTCTGTCCCTGTTATGAACACATCCAGGGCTGTGCCAGAGTTCCAACCTACAGGCACCTGTTCAATCTCCACAAACAGAAGAACTTTGACTCAAAATGTAATCCTATATAATAAAAGGGTAATATGCAAATTGACTGAACGGCAGAACCACCGGAATGCCCTCGGCCACTTGCCCCAGCCAGCCCCACCCCTGAGCAGGCACCTGGACCCCAAGTGGGGGTGGGGCCAGCTGGCAAACCACCTGTGGCCCCTAGTCCCCACCAGCCCGCCCCTGATGGCCCCCATTGGGGTAGGCCGGCTGGACCCCACCAGTGCAAGCATTCGTGCACCGGGCCTCTAGTTATCTTATAAAAATGCTCTAGCCTTTTGAAGAAAGTGGAGTAATATAATTCACACCTGAAATACAGCTTTTTAAAATCTTGCTTATTTTTCCTGAAGGTAAAAATTGTTTCTAAAGTTGTTCTTCTATAACCACAGCAAAATTATCAATCAAGCAAGAGGGAAGAAAATCCCTGAACCAATTTACCATTTTCTCTGCTAGGATGGGGACGGGTTGAAACTTCGCCAGTAGCTCTCTCTGAGAAAGGATCATACCAAAAAATGTATTTTTTGCCAATCTGACAAAAAATAGATATGATTTTTATTGATTTACAAAATAATAACAACAATAATAGTAATTACTTACCCTTTTTGCTCCAAAATAACTAAAAAAAAAATCAGGTTCCTATACTTGTATATAAGGATTTTTGGTACCAGGAATTAACCAATCAAACACAACCTTATTATGCAATGTGACCAATAAGATGCAACACTATTATATGGCCTATGTATTTATGGTTCAAGACAGGGTATTCACAGCATACTGTTGGCTGTTGTCACTTTTTTTTTAAAATGTGACAATTTAAGGGGAAAGAGGTCAGTGCCTCTGACTCAATAGTCAGGAATTGAATGTTTTAAAAATTTTTGCAGCACACCGAATGTCAGGGATGTAATCTGCCTACTTCATGCGGTTGTTGGAGGACTGTGTGTCAAGTGCTTGGTGCATTGTTAGCACTCAATAATTAATAGCTGCTTCTATTGTTGATGCTGCTGATCAAATAGAAGACCTTTCTTTGTTCCCAGAGCTTCCTATGCGAGGTAGGGTGTACCAGGGCAGCCAGCTCCAAACCTGGGGTTGGCTGCAATTTAATAGCTTTGTGATTCTTGGCATCTCCCAGCAGCAACTTCATTATTTCTAAAATGAGTATAATGATATATATCTATCTCACTGTTCTATTGAGGAAAATCCCATGAAAAAAATATATGTGAAAGTGAGTACATTTTACACAATGTACTATGTGATGGTAAGGCATTTTATGCAATTTCTCTTACTTTATACTTTTGCAAGATGTTTAATTCTTCCTCAAGTCATATCTGTCTTTTAAAAAAATTTTATCTTCTATTTATATGTCCCAAATTTTACTATCCATAAAGTTCATATATATGATATATATAACATATATTCTAATAAATACATCTCTCTATATAAAAGCCTAAGCAACCATTACGATGGGATGACGGATGATCAGCCGGTAGCTATAACACACACTGACCACCAGGGGGCAGACACTCAATGCAGGAGCTGCCCCCTGGTGGTCAGTATGCTCCCACAGCCAACCTCCTGTGGCCAGCCAACCTCCCATGGTCCCTCCCCTGGGCCGGCAGGCCCCGATCCGCCTGATTGCTGACCAGGATGAGGGACCACACCCATGCACGAATTCATGCACTGGACCTCTAGTATATTATAAAATATATTATAATACACAGGGCAGGGCAAAAGTAGGCTTACAGTTGTGAGTACGAGAAACATTGTATTCTTGTATTATTATTATTATTAATTATTGTAGTTTTTGCATATGAGCAACTATAAATCAACCCTGTATATTATAGTATACAGATACGTAATGTACATTATATGTTACATATAAATATATATTAAAAGCCCAGAAGTGCTTTTCTAGCATTCTTCTTTATGTAATATATAGAAGAATATTATTATACTAGTGGCCCAGTGCACGGATTCATGCACATTAAAAGGAAGTTAATTAGAAGAAATATTTTAATATTGCTATTCTCCCTTTCTCTATAATAGAAGTGTCAGAGATGAAAGAAAATTAGTAAAATGTATATTAAAATAATATATAAATTGATTAATAAATAAACAATAACAACATGATATAAAAACAAAGACATGATATAAAACATGATATAAAAACAAAAACATGATATAAAAACAACATTGATAAAAACAATGACTGATAAATGGATTAAATTTATTCTACTATCTCCCTGTATACCACATTAAGAGTAAAAACACTTTCAGAGTGCTTGACTATTTTCCCTTGTGATGAAATATTTACAACTTTAACGTTAATGTCACACGCTCGTCAAACTCGAGAGATAGCAACGTATAACTGACCATGTCTGAAAATGGGTTCAGGTAGGAATATTCCTACTCTGTCTAGACTTTGTCCTTGTGATTGATTAATAGTCATCACAAATGCTGGCATCACGTGAAACTGTCTTCAAATTAATTTAAATGGGAGACCAGTGTCAGACGGGGACAAATATCACGCATGAGCGAGTCAACATTTATTTTTAAATTGCCAGTGCGTCATATGTACCGGTTGGTTGGACGGACAAATGGTTGGTCATTTAACCTTTTATATGTATAGATGGCCTGATGCGTGGATTCGTGCACAGGCATGCGTTTGGCGTCAGTGAGAGCTTTAAATGTATCGCGCATGCGTGAGTCAACATTTATTTTTAAATTGCCAGTGCATGTCATGTGTACCGGCTGGTCAGTTGGTAGGACAGATGGACGGTCAGTCACTTAACAGTTTATATATATAGATAATATAATATATAGAGAAAAGCAATGCTAGAAAAGCACTTCTTTAGCAAAATAACAAGCATACATATCACAATTTATTCCATAGGTTAGGAAGTGCCTCAGACTTCTATAGTTCCTTCATTATGCCCAGAAAGTCCCCACAGAATATCTAGAAAAACTTCTTCCTACCTCTTTATCTACATCTGTCAGTATTTCATTTCTCTTCAAGACCAGTGGTTACTTTTGATGGAAGCCTATTGGAACATCTGGTCTGAATTATTATGATTCCCTACTCCGGACTCCTGGTGCCCTTTGGAGATAATATTATAATACTTTTCACATTGTGTTGTAATTTTTTCCTTTTCATATCTGTCTTCTTTTGTAGCTAACAAACATTATCATCTTGGTTTTCCTGTGTGACTGACAGAGAGCATCATTTGCTTGTTATATTTCATTGGCTCCTTTTTTTATTTGATGAATCTGTCAGTCATTTAACATAAACTGATCCTTTTATTTTATAACTGAGCAGAGAGACTCCAAAGAGCCTAAATGAGTTGTCAATATTACACAGCAAATCACAGGCAGAGTCAGGACTAGAACACAGATGTCTAGGTTCCAGTTTTCTGTTCTTTTTGGGTAGTTGATGAATAATCTGTGCTTGGAATATCAGTGTGATAAAGAGTTTGGCACTGTTATTATGGGTAAGCACAAAAAATATTTCTATTTAAATGTTAATGCAGTGTAAAATATTTTTAAAGGGTTATTTTACCATAGAAATTAATATGAAATTTTTCTATTCATTGACAGTACCCTTTAAGCAATCAATACTATGATGTTTCTTTGTTGATGCTTCTGTAAACCTTCTTTCATGGTTGTTGATTAGATTAATTATATTTTGTTACAGATGTCTACTGCATGGGTCACTATTTCTGGATACTAAAAATTACAGTGTGGAATTCTCACATGTCTGTTAATTTTGTTCTTGCTCGCTCCAGGTTTCATTGCTTCAGACATGACATCAAGACACTCCAGTACCCAGTTGTGGTTGATCACACATTACCATGAAATGGGATCATTGTATGACTATCTCCAGCTTACTACTCTGGATACGGTTAGCTGCCTGCGAATAGTGCTGTCCATTGCTAGTGGTCTCGCACATTTGCACATAGAGATATTTGGGACCCAAGGGAAACCAGCCATTGCTCATCGAGATTTGAAAAGCAAAAACATCCTGGTGAAGAAGAATGGACAGTGTTGCATAGCAGATTTGGGTAAATTTTTAGAAATATTTTTAAATTACTTTTTTTACTTTTTGTTGTGAAAAGTTTCAAGCATGCAGACAAATTGAAGATAGTAAACAACTGTATCACAACCACTAGATTCTCCCATTAATATTTTACTATTCTGAAGCTTTATCACATATCTCTCTGTCCCCTATTCATCAATCCTTCTTAATCGTTGACACATTTCAATGTAAATTGCAGACAAAAGAGCTCTTCTGTCCAAAGACACCAGTGTATCACTCACTAGAGTTCATTATTTATTTTCTTTATAGGTAAAATTTAAATTTCATGGGAAATACACAAATCTTAAGTATACAATCCAAGGGTTTTGACAAATGTTGTAAAACCAAAATCCCTATTGAGAGACAGACTTTCCCATTATCCCAGACCATCACTTCATGCTTGTTCAGTCAGTCCCTGCCCCAGCCCACCCTCAGAGGCCACCATACTGTTGCATTCTGATTTCACAGCTCTTTACACAAAGTAGGTACACATACATAGCATATGAAGTGAGTTTGTCTTAAAAATTGTTTCTAAAGTTGTTCTTCTATAACCACAGCAAAATTATCAATCAAGCAAGAGGGAAGAAAATCCCTGAACCAATTT